GTCCTCTTTCTTCCTCTTTGTTCTGTTCGATTTAGCATTTGAGTAGACATAATAAAGAGCCGAAATGGAAAAACGTGGTGTGCCTGTGTGTGTATGTGTGGATGTACCTTTATTCTAAACACTAAAGACACACAGACACACAGATAAATGAAAAGCAAATACACACGCAAATGGAGTTGTCGAAATTGCTCCACTTTGCGTGTGTATACACGTAGGTGTGTGGATGTGTGTGTGTGTGTATGCGTGTTTATCTGTCTGCGAGAATCCAAAATCCCGAATCCTACCCCCGTCATCAACCTGCACCGAAGCACTTAAACCTAAACACGTTGTCTGTGTTGGTGTGTGTGCGTGTGTGTGTATTGGTGAGTCGTCCTTTTTACTGGCGTCTACGCACAATATGTTTCGTCTTTAACCCAACCGAAAGCTTCTCCAGACGAGAGCTTCAAGGAGTCCTGAGTCCTTGCTCCTTGTTTCTGGATCCTTGTGGAAGTTTTAATGTGATTCCTTCGTATTAATTTCGACATCGTCATCGTTGCTGCCGCCTGCTGCCCTTTGCCCTCCCCTTTCTCCCCGTTCTTCACCGCTCTCTCTGTCATTTTCTATTTTTCTCCTTACGCACTTTTTATTGCTCGTCCTGCGTTTGCCTTCGTTTCTATTTTATTTTAACAACATCTTCGTCGTCAGCATGAATTTCTGTCGAGCTCGGCGCTTTTCCTTCCAACTAACTTAACCGTTACCCATCCCTCTCTTTCTCCATTGCTTCATCTCTCACTTTCTCCACTTTCTCCGCCCCCGCTCACTTCGGTTGTGTGCATGTGTGGGTAAAGTTTTTTGTTGCTCACACTTTTATGTTCATCATACGAAAGCGCGACTTTGTTGCACTAAAAGAAGATTTACAACTTTTTGGTTTAACACATGCAACGGGATGGGGGGCAGGAAAAGTGGGGTAGGCCGTTGGATAGACAGTTGGGGTTGAAGGCCACACTCACTGCCTTACAGGAATCGCACAAAAAACACTATACGAAGCCATGTGGGAGTGCACAATGTATAAACCTTGCTCCCATACCATACCAGAAACTTATCCTTAAAATAAAAGTTATTATGCATAAAATGGAGAAATATCCGTATAAGCAACTCATTTTTGTTTCGCATTTTATTAGCTTAGGGCTTGAGCAATTAGCAAAAAACCCAAAAATGCTACGGGGTCAGCAAATAGTTTATGAACGGCCAGGGAAATACCTGAAGGTGTAAACTTTAAATTGTTCATATTTTCTTTGAAAATGGTGCGGAACAATATGAACAACTTTCGCACTGGTAATTACTTTTGTATAAATGCAGCTGCTGAAAACTCTGAAGTTGCGCAAAATTAAATTTAATATTGTAGGGATTGTAAGAATGCAATTGTAGTTAAACTTCTCTGGCTTGAGTTTAGCTGAAGTATATAAAATGCCGAGGACTAATTTACGAAATTTCCAGCGGGCTGAATAATAAACTTTTTATAAACGGCACTTGTAAACCAAAATGGTGTCCAAATTCTTAACAAGTTTTAGCCCTAAAAAGTACAATGTATATGTTATAGGGGAAGACGTTCTAGCTGTGTCTCAATGGACTGAACGTCGAGTTGAACACTTGAATCTCGCAAGTTATAAAAACTGTATTTTATCTAATTTTTTTTTATTCTGTAATAAACATGCAAGCAGTTTAATAGCACGTTGTTCGCAGAAATACAAAATTTATGTAGCTTGTAGCAATACAAATTCGAAATTCACTACCGCTTTTCTGAGTTCAAATTTCTTGTTTGGACTAAACTTTATTAGTATAACTTTAAAATTTCAAGGTCACCCATTTCAAAAGAATGGGTAACGTTGTAACGAATGGGTAAATATTCAAATTAAATTTAAATTCCAAATCACGTAAACATTTTATTATTTTATTGTTTCAATGTAAATAGCTAAAGAAATTAAAAACTTTCGTTAGAACTTTTATCGACACACTTTTGGCCTGAACACGTCAAAAAATTAAACTTTGCAAATTTAAAAGCAATTATTTTAATCCTAACTTTAGATCTCGGAAATTTCACCCGTTGTCCAAGTTTCAATTGGCAAACAAAGACGGAAAGTTTTTTAATTGCTCATTACGTCTGAATCAGGTTGCTGCACTTGCCGCAGTGGAAAAGCCGCAGATTTTCATCATACGTACATCAAAAGCATTTCTAATCAGCAGGCAGTCGGCAAAAACAACCACAGTAACAATGGTGGAAGGGAAAGCGCAAACAAGTTGCAAGTTTACTTTTCCTCCTCTTTCTCTTTTCCCTTTTTTTTTACCAGCTATTGTTAGGTTTGCGTATGTGCCAGTACGTACACACAAAAAAATATATATTTTAGCATTCCGAATGATATTCTGTTACTATTCGTACTTTTACATCAACGGCTTTTCCAAATAGAATAATAATTGAAAAATATAAACTTTTTTCTGTATGTGTGCGTGTGAATTGGAGCACGTAACAACAAAAAAAAAAGGGCAGAGACACAGCACAGAAATAGAAATTATTTGAAATCATGCCGCACTCATAAAACACTTAAAGGACAATTTTGCTGTCATATAGAAAAAAAAGGGGGAAAAGCAGCTCTTGCTGGTGCTTTTCCTTGGCAGTCTGGGGTTAATTAAATAAATTCCTAAGCCACTTTTGCCCGAGCAGAAGCTTCATAAATTTTTGAACAAATACTGCCAAAAAAAGGAAGGAACACGAATTGGTTATACATAAATATTGGTGTGCGTGTATTGTATGTACGGGTTTTCAGTAAGCTTTCACCCGCAAGACAACAACAAAGGGCTTGCAACAATTGGCAGGACTCCGTTTGGCTCTTCCAAGTGTAAACAGAAGTTGAGTTTCTCGAGTCCTTTTCCAATTTCACTCTCCCTCTCTCTATCTTTCTCTCTATCTCTCACTTTCTCTTTGGCTCAAAACGAGATTTCGTTCAAACTCACTCAAACGTTCCATCAATGAACCGCTGAGTTCTGTGCCACTGATAACAGCCGCACACACACACACACACTCACACCGTCGCAAACAGGACACACGGATGGAGCTGTTTAAAAAGATGTCCTGATGCGAAAAAAAATACACCGATTTCTAAGAGTAACAGCGCGGAAAACGTTTGATAACGCCGCGCGCACAAAAGTGTGCTACACAAAAGCGAGTTCGCTCTCTCTAACTCCCTCTCCTTCCTCTCCACTCCTGAGTGTCTGTGTGAGCATCCTGTGTGTGTCTGTGCGTTTATGGTTGTGTGTGGGTGTGGGTGGTAGTAAATAAGCAAGAGGCAAAGACGGAAATAAAAAGGGCAGCAAGTGGACAAGACAATGAAATTGTCATAAATAACAACGTTGTCTACCAACAACAGGCACAAAGAGTATCAGCAACAACAACAACAACAACAACAATAACAACGGCAGCAGGGCAGATTAACCAACAACAAAGGACCAACTAGCTGAGTGACTGGGATTTTTTTTTTCGGTTGCTGTTGCTTATTTTGGTGTCTCTTGGTCAGTGGCTCAACTCTTTTTATCATTTTTACCAGTACCCCGTCCCCAGGGTATTATTCGGGTAGATTAAGTTGATGGAACTCGACTAAAACGATTCGGAGCTCTGAGGTGTATTTCATGAGAGAAACTGAGAAGTGGTGTAAGTGAAAACGGTTAGGGGGATTAGGGGTCGTTTTAGCAAGCTACTAAAGTGTAGAGGCTAATGCTGACAAATCTGATTAGGATCCATTGATATTGGTTTTATCTATTTTTTTTAATTCATAACATTATTAGGATTCTAAAACAGTGTTAACCAATAAAAGAAATGTATACATATATATATAAATACATTAAAAATACACCCAAAACTAATACAGACAAAAGAAAAATCTTGTTTAAATTCGATGTAACGTACACCGATGCTCTGAGACACATATTTCTTAGAATCTAAAGCTATCTAATTTCCAGGCCATCCATAACTCATTGATTTATGGGTAAAGTAAAAAAGAAAACAAACTTTTGCTTGGGAACTGTCTCGAGGGACTCTCATCATTCGACTAGCTTTAGTTGAAAATCTTCGATATTCGTTCATTCTTCTTAACTGTGTTTTCCCATCTCTACTCGTTTTCATTTTAGTTGCCTGTTTTTTTTTTCTTTTCATTTCATTTTTTTAGTTTGCCCAGTGTTCTCATAACGGATATTCGAAATGGCTGCTGCGGCGGCCTTAAGTGACTTTGTCAAACTTTGTGCGCTCGGCTATCCAAACACGAATACTTATAGTTATCGACGGCGTCCAGAAGGGGTGTTGAGAGGCGGGGCGGGGGCGGGGAGCGGCTTGGAGGGTCAGGAAGATACTCACATTAAACTAATGTTTAGTTGGCAGTCGCAACAGTTTTGCGAGTGTTGCGACCCTCGAAACTTTGACCGTAAATTGTGGCACGTGATGGGCGTTTGCAATGGAATGGTCTGATGTCGTATGAATCGCAATGGTGGGGAATATGAGGAATAGGAAGTGCCGCGCTATTATTGTCCAGAGGGGCGTGACCGTGGCAATTGTTGTTTCTTATTTCTCCAGTTCTGAATCGAATTGAATTTTTATGGCCTGTGACAGTTTCGAGTGGCACAATTCAGTTTTGAGAGTGGGTAAAATATTTATTCCTGATTGTTCTCCACTTTACTCAACTGATTTCCATGCAACAGGCAATGACATACAATTCTATTGTCTGATAAAGCTGACTGTGTGGCGACTTCTGATCAATTATTTGTGTTTAAAAATTTTGGGGGAAAATCCATCAAAATATTTGGCAAGATCGAAAGGGAAAAGTGGAATAGCTCATTGATTGACTTGCAGTAAATGAAACGAAAATACATAATTCCTGCATAGTTAATATCAATAAACATTTAACTACGTAAATATTCACATATCTCTCTCTGTCTATCTTTTCTCTTGTTCTATCTCTTTCTGACCTGCCATACAGATTAAAATCCAATTTAAATAAAAGTTTTTTCGTTACACTCACCACATAAAGGCAATATGCAAATTTTAAACAAAAAACACTCAAAAAATGTTAAACAAAAACAAATGAATGCAAATTAAAAAGCACGAGAAAAAGCCAAAAAACAAATAACAACAGCAGCAGCAACAATGTGTTCATAACTATTAAAACGGAAATTAAAAATAAAAGCAAAGGCTTAAAGTAACGCATTATGTTAAACCGAAACCAAACTCATCTGAATCTCTACTTTCGCATCCATGTTTCTGCATAAGTATCTGCATCTGCACCCGTACCCGCATCCGTATCTGTATCCGTATCTTTGCATCTGCTGAGCGAATGAGACGAAGCTGGAAACATGCCAGCTAAATTGCAATCCAAAACCCAGAATCAATACATCAATCAGTCCAGCAAGCAACCAATCAAGCAATTCCATCATCAATTTGCAACTGCCATCAACTCATCATCAATAACAACTGCAACCAGTACTGCAACAACAATCCCAACCTAAATGCCAAAAATTAAATGCACCCAACTAAAGCAAATAAACTTAAATAAATCTAACCAATAAACCTAAAAAATAGCTTAACACCCACTCGACGGCGAACGAAGAGAGAGCAAAATTAAATTTGCATATTAATTATGGAACATTCATCAACAATTTTGTTGTGTTTGTTCCATTGCCAAAACAAAAAGGTCGCCGATTGTTTGCAGCTGCAGCAACAAGAACCACAGCAACAACGACCACTGGGAAATCCGACAACAACTAGAAGACCAACAACTACAGCAACCGAAGCAGCAACCGAAGCAGTAACAGAAGCAGCAACAGAAGCAACAACATCAGCAACCCAGCAGCAACTTCTTGGACAGCAGCAACTTTTAGCTTCATTTCGACAAAATTGCTGGGTAAGTGGAATTGGGAACACAATTTTCGAGTGAATCGAAACGGAAGGGAATAGAACGGACAATAAATTCAGCGAATTAGCAAATGCAGAAATTTGATTTCCACACAATTTTCAGAGCATACATACTGGCATAAACTATATTTAGGCAACTGAAAGAAAGAAATTCTTGCATTTAAAACCAATTCAGAGCCAAAAAGGGAATATTCAGCTTGGTCAAAGTGTGGAAGAGGGATGAATTACAGGATAAAAGGTAGATGCAAAGCATAAAGCACTTAAAAAGAGATAGTAAAAATAGTGTAAAAAGGAGGGAAAGGTATAAATGGAAAGTAAATCCAATTAAGTGCACTTACTTGACAAAAATACAGAAGTGATTGCGAGTTAGGGGTATAACATTCGTTGGAATTTCTCGTCTGTTTCTATAAAAGTTTAAAGACTTTTTCAATCTAATTAATTAAAACAAATATTAATTAATATTTGAATCGTATACAAAAAGTCAGAATGGTGGTCTAAAATAGCTTTTTAAGCATTATTTATTTGTTATATAAGAAAAACTTCTTACCTTTTTGGACAAAATTTATTTCAAAAGAATTTTAATATAAGGAAAAACAAGAGCTTACTTTATTCAATTTTTGAAAATATTTTGCCTAAATTAAATTCATTGTAAATTTGCCGAAGAACATACCCTTATTTGCATTAAATTTTAATAAATTATGAATAGTGCATTTTTTAATGAAAAAGTGTAATATAATGATATCCAAGATTCCAACTTTAGAATGTCGTTGATTTGCTGAAATCTGAGATTCGTTAGGGCAATGGAAAAACTTGTAACTTGTCAGAGTGACGCCTCGGCCAGCCAGCAATCAAATAGTGTCGAGCTCAGCAGTTGCCGGAACTGAAAAAAGAAGTAAACTAGCTGAAAAATTTAAAATGGCATCAAGGCAGCGGCAGCATGAAAAACTGGAAAATCGTCGCCAACGCAATTGGAGTCGACTGTCTGACTCTCTGTCCTGCGATTTTCCCTCCCTTTTGGGGCTGATGCTGACCATTCCTTGTTGGTTGTTATGAATTTCATATTACACACGAAAATCCAATAAAAATCACCGAAAGCAATTTGCCGTCCAACGAAAAGTAGAGCTACGGAGGTGGGGTATAAAGACGTTTTGAAAATTCCTTACCATCAGCTGCATTTTGGCTGCTACTTTTTACCCGTTTTGTAACATTTTTGCCACACACATTGCTGACCAAAAAAACGTGTTTTATTTACTTCGTTATTTCATGTCAATAACTTTTTTAACGGATGCGGAACAAGATGCATTTTGTAGCCTGTTAAAAGCGCATTTTTTTTGCACTTGTAACCCGGTTTCGGTCGCGGCCCAGTGCCGAAAAGTTGCTTAATTTGATTTTAATTCACGGCGGCAACAGAAAATTGGCACCACTAAAAAGTGGATGAAACAAATTCGAGTTGAGGGGAAATTACGAATTAAAATTTGCTGGCTCAGCAGCAATTAAAAATTCAACGAGTTTCCACTTAAATTGTTACGTCCGCTTGGTGTGAATTCGTTGGTTTTCTATGTGAAAATGAAATTCAGCTTAATAAGGAGACTTCTATCAAAATGGATCATGCTGTTAACTCGTGCCGTTAAAGCCGAGTCTGCTGGGCATGTGACATTTGGGTTGAAAAGTCCATTTCCCCAGTTGTCAAGAGCTTATAATAGTTTTCCACACTGTCCTCTGTTCCGCTGGTCCTTTCGCTTGTTTGATGTATTTTCCGCTTTCAGCCCAGTGCTTTGGATATCTCTGCGATGGCCCCTTTGAATTCCAGTTGGTTTATTTCATTGCAGCCAAACTGTCGTATGCAAATCTGCTTTGCTGATTAAACCTAAATAATGTTGCCTCAGTTACGAAGCCCTTCCTTTGCGGCGGCTCCTTTTCCCAAGTGTCTCCTGTACAGGCCGGTTCCCTGTGCTCCTCTGAATCTCCATTCCCATTTCCATCGCCCATCTTATATTGTCTTGTCTGTCGCTTTGAAAGATGGTTGCATAGTACTCTCTTTCCGGCTGCACTAAAAGTTTAACCAGCTTGCACTGGACTTGGGCAGATGCGGCCTGGCAATAAGATCGGGAATTTATATTTACACTCTGGGCTTTCCAGCAGCAGCTTTATATATCATTGACAGAAGTGCGGATTTGTACGCAGAATTATTGTTTATTAAATTTCTCAGAATAGACTCTGCTTTCGAGGGCATTTGTCCTTCGTTTCCTGGAAAATTGCAGTAAGGGCCACTCCTTCTTTGACTTTCTCCGCCCTCTGCTTTGCTGCTGCTTATATCTTTTCCTCGTTTTTCTTCCTGCTAAATCTGAGACAATTTCCAACTTATAAGAGGCCGCCTCCATTTGTATAATAACACAGGGTCCTGCATCCTGCAGCAACAGCTTCCGCTGGCCACTTGTTGTTGTCCACCCACACAGCTGCAGACCGAGTCACAGACAGAGGCACATACACACACAGACACAGTAACAGACACAGACACAGTAGCAGACCACTCACACCGAGGCCAACCACATTTTTTGTTTTGCATTGCCGGATGCCTTTGGTGTATTTCCTTTTAGCCTGTCTGCTGCACGGAGTACAACATTTCCAATTTAATTTCTGTTTCAGCGGCCCCTCGGCTCCCTTTGCTCCCTTGGCTCCCTTGGCTTATCCGCATCCCATATCCTGGCTGGCAGACTCGGTTGGGTTTTCCTGGCCGTGGCCATTGTCTTTGCCTTTGTTTGCTGTGCCATTTCCTTTTTGCGCCTCGAAATTAACTCCGGTCTGCCCCACGCTCTCACTCTTCTCCTCTGCCTGCATAGATTATAGTTGAATATTTTTGGTCGCCATTTTAATTAAACTGCGCCAATGGCTGCGAAATTGTTTATACTGTCAGTTCCACATCATCCCATCTCCATCCCCATCATCCGCATCCGCAACTCCATTCTGTTCCTCCTCATAATCGCTGCTATCCTCATCCGCTCGCCATATCCATCTCCATCCAGCAATGGTTGCCTCATTATCGATGCAATGTCTGACCCAGTTGAGGGGCAACAGGCGACTGGGGATGAGTTCGTGGCTGTATTTTCGGGTACAAAGGTCACGAATCATCCCGTGTTTAACCTTTATGTAATTGAGCTCTGTGGGGGCAAAATAATAATAATAATTATTTGGGTAAGCCAGCGAATATCAAGGTTACAAACGCCATTCAAATAGTTGTATTAGGTAGACTGAAACCATTATTTTACTTTAATAATTTTATTTATTAATTTGTTTTTTTAACTAAGTCAAATTTTGTTATACCTAAAACCTAAAAAAACGGGTTGTCTAAATTGCTTACATTTTCTTTTATTTAGATCCATAGTAAGTGGTATTATGTAGCGCTTAATAAAACAAGGAAATAAGTATTTATTGCAAAGTTAAATCAGAAGTTTAAATCATACTGAAATGAAAATAAACAAAAATATTATAGGGCCAAGTTATAAGCATGGCTTAAGGCAACAAATACAAAAAATAGACAAACAAAAGCTTCCTGTTTCCTGTTTTAATTAATATGAATGATTTGCTAAGTGCTTTAAACATCATGAGTTGCTGTTGTTAATCCGTCCTTAGTTATAATATGTTCAATGATACATACTATTCTTAAGAATAAATCCGATTATATTTTGTGTTTCGTGAGTGCTCACGAGCACATTTCCAGCTAGCAAAACAACAAATAAGCTTCTTTCTCTTCGGCTTCGGTTCGCTCTGCAGTGCACTTTGCATTTCCCTTGTTGCTTTGGGTGTTTTTGTTGTTGCTGTAATTACATAGCACTTGTTGTTTTGGCTTTGTGCTAACAAAAGCCTTGACTCCACCGCCCACTTCAGCGGAATGCGCTCTCAAAAAAGGGAAGAGGCGCCAATAACCTCACTCGAATGGCATCGCCCCAAAGTATGCAGCAGTATTTTGTCGAAATGACTTTTGACGTTCGCTCAATGGCAATATTTGCAGCGTCCATATGAGTGTGTGTGTGTGGGTGTGTGCGAGTGGGTGTTGCTGTGTTTGTGCGCATTGAATGTGTATGTTTATCACGATGTTAGCATCTGAATGAATGAATGGCAGCGGGGCAAAGGCCACCCAAGTGCGTCTGTCATTCTGCCAGCCTGTCAGTTGGCGTTCTAATATCGAAAACGCTCTACATTCTATGCTGAAAGCTCATTTTACATGCAGTTTTACTTTGATTGGCTTTCGAGTCGCACTTACCGGCTTGATTGGCTAGTTTAACGAACACTACCCAGTCAATCAAAGTTTGAGTACTGACACCGTGCAAAACTCTGCAAATTATGGAATTAGCTTCCAGTCTTATGTTAGCTAAAACTTAATTGCTGTCAGAAACATTTATAGTAGAATAAACTTACTAACTACATTTTCTTTCAATTGTACTAAGCTACGGGCAAAAACCTTATTTATTTTTATAAAAAACAAGTCCCTACAAATAAGTGTTCAATTAAGGTCTTATCTGTCTTATTATTTAGATTTCTTCCATCGTCTTGTTATTTATTTACTTATTCCAGAAAATGGCATTTTAAATTTTAAGAGCTTTTTAAACCATAATTAAAAATTAAAAAAAAATATTTATGTGAGCTTAAAATAGTATTAATAGGTATCTGAGATTTCATTTCTGCAAATTTTGCTGATGGGGAAAAAATTGAGCTGCCTAAAACTGATGTTGGTAAATTTTTCACGTGTGCATTAGGGCTTATATTATTTAAGTCCCTGGCAACTAAGCCGCTGAGTGGATTCCCTTGAGCATAATTTGCAGCTGGCTAAAGCAAATTTGTGCAGCAATCTCCTGCCAGGCCAATGTGTGTATGTGGCCACCAAAGGGTTCAATTATGAACCGACGACCGCAAAAAGTTGAAACCTCAAAGCGGATATAGTGAGGCACTTGTGGCCCACACCGGGAGCGGCAGGTAATTCGAGGCCCTGTGGAGTGTGCTAAAAAATGCAGCCACCAGATGTGCAGGGCTCAGTCCGCAAGGGAGCCGCAGCTAAAGCCAGATTCTTTGCGGGATTCCAAGTTTTTTTTTCCTCCCGTTTTTTTGTCGCGCCTATGCGGCTGCTGCAACTTTATCGGAAAAGGGGGTAAAATGGAAAATCTGGCGGTTAAGAGGGGTGAGGGCTTGGCTCTTGGCTCATACTCCTTCAATTTCAAGGCTCATTGTGTACAACGGCTGCCTCTCATCATTGGCGAAGCATTAAATTGACTTTGAAACTTTCTACCTGCCAGAGCTTTGTGCCAAGAACCCGCCCAAACAAAAACTTGAAGCGAACTGAAACTAAACTTGAAATTAATTAACCGCGACAAGGGCGAGGGGCTGCTGGCACCCCACCCCACCCCACCACGTCCACGACCATTCAAGTCACCCCTTGGTGGCCTTTCCCCACCTTTGGGGCACTAACGCACACCCAAACATAACTCATAAAACCTCTAATTACATAAACAGCTGACGCGGCCATAGACAAAGATATAGAACGTGGGGCTGCCAGAAGGGCACACTTCCTTTTTGGGAGTGCCAAGAAGGGGCCCCTTCTTCTGGAGGATGCCAGGAAAGTGGCCCTGCCCTCTCCAGGCCACCACTCGGGAATCAAATAAGTTGAATATTTTAATTTTCCATCATAATTAATGCCCTTTCAACCTTTCATCCCACGGTCTTAGTTTATCCCAGATGATGCGGTTTGCTAAACGTCCCCTTCCCGCTCTCCCGCCCTCTGTCTTTCTCCTTCTCTCTTTCTCTCTCTCTCTCTCTCTCTCTCTCTCTCTCGCTCCCTCGGCGACCATCGAGCACGTGTAAATTATTGTGGCTTTCTACGGCACTGATGGCCGGCGCCTGAAAGCATGCGGCGATACTTACATCCTATAGTTAAGGGCGCAATGGCAGTTCCGAGTTCGTGGCTTAGTAATTAACAGGTGGATAAAAAGATTTTTCTTTCGACTTTGCGAACAACATTTGATATTTAGCTAGAGGTTTCCATTTCTTTTCAGGTTTCTTAATTTTTTATAAATGATAAAATTCATCTTATTTGAATAGTCTGTTCTCTCCAAACTTAAAAATATGTATGTTTCGGATGTAGAGTAAAAATTTAACACTTAATAAGATTTTTTTTGACTCTATGAACAACATTTGTATTTAGCTAAAGATTTTAATATCTTTTCCAGTAAATTCGAGGTCCTCTTTCTCAATCTTTCCTCACTCAAATCTATAAACGTTTAACTGGTTTTGTTGGCCATCGAGAATGCATTTTTTTTTAACCATTAAGACCATTTAAAAAGGAAAGCACTAATTAAGTTGCTTTGTTTATTTTTTTAACTAATCAAAAAAAGAATTTTAGGATCTACAGTAAACATTTAATACTTGTCTTCGCAACTATTATATAAAAGTTTTTAAAGTTTTTAATTTGACATTTAACTTTGCAAGTCTTAATAGATTTTTGATAGAAAATTATATTCAACAAATATATGATTTTAAAGCTGCAAATAAATACATTACAGAAAATAAAATAACAAATTTAATTTAAAAATTTTACTTAAAGGGACTTAAAGGGTATCTTTTAACGCAGAACTGTATGTGTCCGTTTCTTTTTATTTTCTCGTTGTTTTGTGGCATCGCAGCTCATGCCGCACGCAGACTCGATGCCGCCGCAGCCGCATGTATTTCAATTACTGCATTTCTCGGCCTCATGGTCCGCCCACAGTAGCCGCGCCCATAGAAAATGCCTCCCCTTTCCCTTTCCCTTACCCCACCTTCATCGCGAAGCTATTAGCCAGTGTTTTAATTTGCGCTTCGCCTGCTTTTGTTATTTTTCTGCTTCGTTTTTCCCTTCTTGTTTTTGTTCGACTCGCGTTTTTACGCAAATTCATTGTTTTAATTTACTCAAGTTTGTTGACCGAAAACAAAAACTAATCAATGCCTGTGCTCGCAATGCGTGGTGGTTCGGTGTTTTTCGGCAGGCTTATCGAGGGCTTTTGAGGTGACAGACCATCTGCACCTCGTCCCACACTGGATTTGGGTTAGAAAAACCCCCTAATAGGGCTGATAGTACATATTTTTTAATTAAACATTAACTCAGCTAAACTTTTTGTTGCCATTTTCTGGTGTTCATTATTTTTTTCAGGTATTTGTCTTTGCGGTCTTTTGCTTTTGCGGTAAACAGTTCGCTTCGCTAAGTTGTGGCAAGGGATTTGATATCAAAGGACTAAACTCAGTAAGGATTGTGTGTGTATTGGGAAACTTCAAAAGCAAAAGAGAATTACGCAAATCGCGTTAAATGAGAAACGGAGAATTACCATCTATTGAAAGGGTATTAGAACTTGACTCACCTCAATGAAAGACAATTTAAATGAGAATAAGTTTGCGATTAAAGCATTTAGAAGTAGAATCTTAATGTGGTTGTATTTATTTTAGCATATATAAATGTTAATTTAGGATGTCATAACGGTATCGCAAATAATGTTAAACATAAAAGAATCTCTTAAATTGGTAAATGTTTTAACTAAAATAAAACTTATGAATCTTTCTCCTCCACAGATAACATCTAACAACTGAACGAAACAACGATACTCAAGTGTACTAAAAAGAATAAGGATCACCATTAATAGAAAATCAACCAGAACAACAACAACTGCTACCTAAGGTTTCTCAAACTCTAAAAGTAAATAACTCAAAAAGCAAAAAAAAAAAAAACAAACCATATAAGCAAACCAGAAAAAAGTGCAAATTATGTAAATTATAGCAAAGGCAAAACGCAAAGGGAAAACCGAAGAGCAAACGAAACAGAATTAGTCAAATAGAAACGTCGGAAAAATCCAGAAAAAAAATATCTGTGACCAGGCGAAACCGGAAATAAAATCTGCAACGCTGAACCAAAGTGGAAAAGAAGCCACAACCGCAACCGCATCAAAATCCGAGGCGAGTAGACCGAAAGCGCGTGCCAAATATTTGCTCAAAAATACCCGAATAAAATAATATTTAAAGGCGCTTTCCCTGAGCAAGGAAAGCGAGGAATCGAGAGATTCCAGTTATTGGCGAGATAGTTAAAGCGTTCCATGAAAGCGGCGTCGCCCTGAGAAATTGGGTGCTGGACTTCAGGGACCTTTCCTTTGTTGGACTCCGACCCACACGGCGCATTGTCTCGGTCTTTTGTGCTAATCATCGCTAGTTGGGAGCCCCGGGAGCAGGAGCCCTGGCCAACTATTTAGCCAAGGTGACGAGGCCAGGCACTTTGCAGCGCACCAAGCACACCAGCCAGCCACACCAACACCCCCACTGAAAGGAGGCGGTGGAGCAGGAGGAGGGGCGGGGCAACCATTCAATCCACGAGCCACGCGGTACAAACAAGCCAAGGACATGGACTCCCCGCTGCCAGCGTCGCTGTCGCTGTTTGTCCTGTTGATCTTTCTGGCGATAATTAAAGGTGAGTGCTCTACGATAACTATTCAGAACTCACGCCAACCCAAGTGCCATTCCATTTGAATCCTGACCCCCCTTCGCTTTTGTTTGCCTTCCAGTACCGTTTATCTTGGCCAACAACTTTCCCTTTTTGCCCCGAGTTTGCTTAGGTGGTCGCTAATGAAATTATTGTAAATATTTAAGGACGCGTGAACAAGTAAAACTTGGTTCGAGTTTGCAAAGGTACAAAACTTCTTTAGATTTCTTAAGCTTTATAAGGGTTGAAGAGCATATTTTCAAGCCCATTACCCTAACTAATTTGGAATATAAGGGACAATCGCGCTATAAATTAAGACATTTGCTGTACACTTTATAATTAAAAATAATATACAATATTACGATTTATAAAATGCATACACATTTCATGAAACACCTTTTATATTTTCCAAAAAAATTCTTTTAAGCTTTCGAAAATTAAATAAAGTAAACAAACATTTTTAGTAATGAATAAAAAATAACGAGAACGGTATAAACAATTTTGAGCCAAGAAATCTATCTTCTCTCTTTGTAATAAACTACAGGGTACAACACGTTTAAGTTTTCAACAATTAGTACACTTATACTGTTGACTCTGACAGCTGTTGTACAATTTCGTTTACAATTTCAAAGGTCAACAATTATCTATGAACCCACAAAATTATTACTCCACTTATACTGTTGACTCTGGCAGTTGTTGAACGTCTCGCCTTACCACAGACTAACATTTGCGTTAACAAGTGCTCGAGATTTTTCCGCTTTTCGCTGAGAGCAGCGAAACTCGAACAAATCCCACTCATGTCGCACTATCAATTTCAAATGCGAAATCTCCTCCAATCGCTCCACCTCCTTCGCCGCGCATAAATCTTGGGGCAAGGTGACACTGTGTGGCCTTGCAGGCTGAATAGAACCGAACATTGAACTCACACCCAACCCTACCCACATCCACATCCACACCCAACCGACACATTATTCGATTTTTCAATTTCCTTGCGAGCGTTTTCACGGCGCTTTAAGCAAGCCAAGAAATGCCAGCGGAATGTAAAAGTAAAAGCCAACCTCCCACTCAGAAAGCAAAAAAAAAAAAAAACACTCAGCTCCAGCCATGGCTATATCTATTATATAGGATGGCGTGGCGTGTGTACATGCGGCAAATTCCCAGGCAGCGGGCCATAAATTCACATGGAGATCGCCCTGAGCCAAACTTGGCCATATTTTTAGTTTCCACTGCTCGCTGAGCTCCGCAATTGCCAGAAAAGCGGGAAAAAGTTGAAAAAAACAAAGACACAGACGGTGGGGGGGGGCTGCTGCAAGGAGAAAAATATTCAAGTAGAAAAAATAGAATTGTCATGCGGAGGAGAAGCCCCCCAGGTGGCCGCACTTCAAATCCACATTCTTTTCCCCGGAGTCACTCGAGCACTCGCTGCAAAATACACACCAAAAGAGTGGAGGACAGGGAAAACAAAGCCCCCAACCCAAATGCTATATACAATATCTGTCTTTTTTAAGTTGCATCGAGAGTTGAGAAGTTCTGTTTTTTTTTTACAACGCTCCGCACCGTTGAGGTCTCATGTGCCCCGCTTTTGACAAAAATAACAACTTGCGACTCGGGTCGTCGCGATTCAACTCAATTCTCGTTGTTTGCTTCAAGTGTTTCCACTGCTCGGCATTCTGGATGCACAAAATTAAGTTCACATCCAGCACGAAGCAGAGTGAGGAATTTCCATACACCGAAACAAAAAATATCTTTTTGGGGTAGAGTTTTCAAACATTTCAAGGTGTTCTCAAATCTCTTAATGTCAATTTGTTCTTATTATCTACCACACATACTTTTTAAAACACCTTTTTGAGTTTTATTCAATTGTTTAATAGTCAATCACTTATTGAAATAATAGTCGTCACATTATCATTATGATACTTAACACGAAGTTTCACAATTTTAATTACAGAGACTTAACACTTGAGTAGCTTTTGGTATTGTGTCGATAACAATAATTTTCCGGTTTTATGGGCTCAAATTACGCTCATGAAGAAGGCATGATATAATTACAATTAATATGTTAATGTAAGGACAACCCCATTGAAGGCATTTTGTTGAGAATTTAACAATCAATTTGAGCCTGATTGCTTCCTGATGCAGGACATTGGGAAACTGCAATATCCAATTTTCCTCGCTGGAGTGCTGAGGTCCCTTTTTCGCTGAAAAGTTATTACGAAAACATCGCTGGGGGAGTTGGCGGGCGGAAAAATCTTTGACTTTGTCCCGACTTGCTCTGCGATTTGTGCTCTTTATTTGGCCACCCACCCAGCGCACATTTCCCATTTCCTTTGAGTTGCCCCGACAGAGACTAATGAAGACGGCAGCTCGCAGTTCGCAGTTCGGGGATTGGGACTTGAGATTGTTTGGCCAAAGACAAATATTTTCAATAAGCTGATATCGGAGTGTGCACTGATTGGAAAACCAGCAGTTGGAGAGCAGCGGAGCGACGAACGGGACAGCAATACGCAGATTGTTCAGCATTCGGCCATATTGCTTGTGCTGCTCGCCAGTTGGCAAACGCATAAATTGTGCGGAAATTCGGGTCTGAGCTGCAGCACCTTGACACTGTCAGCCATTCCCGGGTATATATGGCCGGCCATATATTTCCTTTTTAAGACATTTTACGCATTTGCGTAGATTTAAACGACATAAATTTCTATTGGATTTACGGGGCAAAAGCTTGGCCGTACATTTTCGGCTTTAATTTGCTCAGTCCCATTTCCACCTCCGAGTTCCTGATGCTCCGGTGGGGATCAAGTCTTGGGATTACTCGGCCACAATGTATTCGTTAATATCCTTGTTAATATCCTGAGAACTGGCGTAGAACTTCTGGCAATGAGCAAACTTATTCCATCTTCCATTGGCATGTTTCTGGCCCTGTCCTCTAAGCCAACTTTCAAACTTGCCACCATCTGTTCTGCTCTGGCAGGTAAAGCGGATAACTTAGACTCGGACCAAGACTCCGACTGTGACTCTGAATCCGAATCTGTATCTAAATCTGAATACGAAACTGACTGTGACTTAGGTTTTGGTTAGGGCTTCCGGCTTCAGTTTTTCCCCGCTCACCACACCCAGTAGCAACTTTCAAGGTTGCTTTTGTGTCTGTGTCTGCAACTGTATATGTAACTATATCTGTATCTGCAACTGTATATGTATCTGTAACTGTGGACCAGGACAAAGGCGAAGCAAGTTGCAGTGCAAGGAAAACAAGTTTCAGTTACACGCTCTGCACTTCCGTGGCGCCATCGATAGACTAACCTTGCTCCCCTTGTGGTTTCCTGCTTTTGAGTTAGAGGTGAAATCGGTTTATATATTGGCTAGCTTAACATTATTCTAAAGTTATCCTTACGATATCTTAAAAAATTTGTACAGTTTATGTGTATATGTATATATATATTTAGTGAGAAGTTAAGACCTAAAACAAATCTAAGACGCGACTATGTGCCAATATGCATGTTTCTTAGACCAACATTTCAACAATATAGAAAGTTCGCAAAAACAAGCTGGTCTCTAAAATATATTTAATGCTATAATTTAGTTGAAATCTTTTTTTTTTACATTTTTGGAATTAAAAAAGGACTATATAAATATAAAGAGCCATTTAGCCTTTTTCGCTTTGTTAAAAAATGTTCGTTTTCTATAATATTGTGTTGTATTTAGAATTTATTCAAATTTTTGTTGTTTTTGTGTTTGTAATTTGTTGTTAATCTTTATGACTTTTAATTTACGTTTTTTGTTGCTATCGACTAAAAAATAATCTGCAAAACATAGTTTCCAGTGTTTATATGCTTTTTGAGTTTCAATTTTCATCGAAATAATCTCGTGACTCACGATCCCATCGCTTTGATGGGCGAGGCAGTGCCGCAAATCCGCGCCCGTCCTTGGGGGCACCTGTAGGCACCAGCTCCGTCCATCTACAGATCCGGTTCCTCCTCATTGTCATCCTTGAATGAGTCAGCGATGCCGCCACAAAAGTTTGCAAATAAGTATTTTTATACTGCCAATCCCGGCATCCCGGGGTAGCCCTCTAGAATCGTAAAAAAATACGAGAGCAAGGAGGGAACTTAGTGCCTGCGCCTAAATAACCGTAAACAGCACTCGTGGGCGGCATGGGGCACCCGAGCAGAGTAAAAAACAAAACTTGATAAGCATAAATTTGCTGTAATTTAACGCATTCAATTACAAAAAACAAAAAAGAAAATGGCGAATGTAAAAAGGCCGGAG